GCCACATTAAGATGATAACCTGCCACAGCTGCTGTACTTCTACAACACGACTTGTGTCGATGATTTAGTGAAGCAAACTGATCAGCTGTCTTATTGTGTCTTTTGTGTGTTTGGTTTTGTGTGTCCAATGAACTGAAAGCCCTCTTTAATGCACGAGGGTGTGACCATCCACATCCTCTCATCTGTCCAGTGTCAGCCATTCATTTTGTGCAAATGGTCAAGTCTTCCAAGTGTGCGTGCTTTTCCTTCTGACCAGATGCAGCTTTTTGCACCATAACTTTATTGTCCTGATACTGATCATCACACTGTGTATGTGCGCTGAAACAGCAATTATTTCACTGCTCAGGTTACAAAATGTCATAAGATGCTGCGTGGCTGTACAAGATAGACTTTGGTTAGCAACAACTCTCTGAGGCCTTTACTATGAAGCAGAACGCTGTCTTATCCGGCTAACATCAAGGGTCAAGTTATCCTTTGAACCTAATCTGCTCCAGAGCAATTTATGTTCCAAATGTGAGATCAACAGGTACAAAATCACCACCTACTAACCAGTAAGGCCAAAAAGAACAAAATAAATAAAATCCCCGATCCTGGAAGATCCCTCAGACCGCTTCGTGCAGAGAGTAGGAGGGTGTAAAATTTTTCAGCAGAGTCTGACGTCTTTGTCTTTCCATGATTAGCAACGATAATGAATATAGATTCTCTACAACAACTTTACTGTTTTGGAAGTATTAATATATGATCCTAAAGCAGGACACCTGCACTGTAATTAATGACCTCACATCACATGTTTAAATTACGCTTTTACATTTAACCTTTTAATCAGACCAACAAAAAGCTCATACTTAATTTTAGCGGCAGTCATTGTGACACTGATGATAAAACTTGTGTAAAATTGCAAAACTGTAAAAAGAAATTTAAAAAAAAACTATTTAAAAAAAAAAAGCTTTTTTGTAGCTGAATATTTTAAATTACAGTTAACTTTACTGGTTGACTGTTTCACCTGTAAGATATTAAAATAACATGCTAAGGTTTAATTGTCTATAAGGAACACACTCTGAGCCCTGGGCAGTGTTGTGCTAATAAGAGAAGGTTTGTGTGTGCAGTGAACCAGTAAGTTTTGTATTTCATAATTTATTGATTTTCTATTATCCTTTCTGACCTACATTAATGAAGCCATTAGAGCACCATGTCCGCTCTAATAGTTCTGTAGTTTGATGCTTGAGTCATTGCAGACTTGTTGAAACTCCCTCACCTGTCAAAGCAGCGTCTTTGTTAATCGCGTCCAGCAGATGGCAGTGTTTCACTGTCATATGACG